TCTTCTGAAGGTGTGATCAAACAAGACTTGTTTGTAGCCTGGATTCAGTATTCTCAAGAAGCCTACTCGTGTCCCTTGAACTGCTTGAGAAACTTGTACTCATTGGTATTGCAAGCTAATTGAGTAATTCCTTTAGAGGGGGGAAATGAGGTTTCCTGAAAGGGACAGAGGGGGTACCATGCACAGTCAGGTACCCACAAGGATGCTGGCAGCTGAGGGCTGCTGGCACACAGACAGCCTTCAGGGCTATACCCTGTCAGCTGGCTCCCAGCTCACCTTGCTGGGACTCACTTTCCTGAGGCTGAGTGGATGTCAGGTAATCTAATAGCTACATTCTCCCTTTGGGTGCTCAGAGCTGACCTTCAGAAAGGAAGGGTTTCTCACCAGGACATTCGCTCCTACCTGTAACATGGCTGGTGCTGTTGTGCAAGCTCAGGCTGTTTTCTGCAAGGGTAAGGGGAGGCTGGGGCAGGGAAAAATTCAGGTGGTTTGCCTGGGAAGGAGTCAATGCTCACTGAAGCCTCACTTGTGCAAAGTCACTTTGTGAAGAAACAGCTTTTGATTTTTAGGTTAATGTGAACAAATGCACGACGATGTCTTTCTTAGTTTGTACGTGTATAGGACTCTACTTTTTTGTTTTAAGAAATAATGTTATAACAGAAGTTAAAAGTAAAGTGTACTTTAAACATTATGACAAACACTGAACTTTGGTAGAGTTTTGATAAGATTTGAGGTTTTAAGGGGTTCTAACTTTTTGAGTACATCCTGTAGAGTTACTAAAACTGACCAAATTTGTGGTTGGTTATCAGTCTCCTGACCTTTCAGTTTTGAGAAAGAGCACATTGCTATGGCAGCTCGGGCCATCTGTATGAAAGTTTGAAACCTCACCCTTTAGAAAGCTTGTACTGTACTTTGCTTTTTTTTTTTTTTTTTTTTTTTTTTTTTGCTTCCTTTTTGTAGTGTTTCCCATGTGCTGTCCTTCATGTCCTGTGGAGATGAGATCCTTATCCACTTTCTTATTTTTATTATATGCAAGTGAAGCCTTGGAGCACCTTTATATTTGTTGGTAATTCAGTGTTTTTTGCAATAGCAGTTCAAATAACAGGGAAATGACCTCCTGATTTGTGCTTTAAAAAAAAAAAAAAATATATATATATATATTTGCCAGCTGCATTTTGAGAAATGGAAGCTATGCTGTTAGTGTTGTAAGCCTTCCCGTGCATCTCCCAAGGGCAGCTTCAAGCAGTGCTACCAGTGAATTGCTCTAGTCATGTATATCAAGGTGCAGCTGCTGTTCACAGTCTTAAATGTACCTATGAAAAAAGCTAGGAAGGAGGGCTGTGTTGACATTCTTGTGGAGAGACAAGTGTTAGGAGTACTACATCCAAAGAGTTAGCTTTGGAGAGCTGTGTGCCTCTACAGCTTTTCACCAGTAGAGCTGTATTTGTAGAGAAGCTTGTGCTTGTTTAAGTAATTGACAATAAACTAAATGTGGTGCAGCTCTATATCCGTGCTGTTTGGATGCAGAGATTAGTCTAAGTGTCTGCCAACATAGTTCTGCTGGCATAGTGCCTGGTAGCCTCATAACACAAGCACAGTTGCCTATTGCTGACAGATGAAGTGTCATGACAAAAGTAGTACCTCCTCAGTGTGGGGAAGAAATCTCTGACTGCAACTGTTTTGATACAGAGTTGTGTAAGCAGAGGGCAGATTAAAGGATAAGGTATGACAAAAGCCAATGCCAGGAAAGCAAAAGGAAAAATAGGTGAAGAAGATATGAACGCACTGAGGGGAAGTTCTGGAGTTGACAGCTGTTTGATATAATCTACTTGAATTTGCAAACAAACTTAGCAACTTTCTCAAAAGTCTTGGAGTAAACTAGGCCATTGTTGATAAAGGTGCTTGCAGTGCTTGCATACGAACTAGGAAGCAAGACAGCAACGGATCTGCCCCTTGTAGATGAAGGTGAGATTTCTGCAGGGTTCTGTGCTGCGGTGAATGCTTTCATTGTAGTCATTAGCATGGTCTTTCAGTGTGGTCTTGAGAAAAGGAATAGCAAAAGGATGAAGGCTGTTGATGTTAGATGGTAGTTCAGAATTGTAAAGACAAGGACCTGCAAGGAAATTCAAGAACATGGATGTTGCTGGTGAATCTTCACTTGCCACTCTTGCCTAGTATAGGAAAACCATTGAATCACCAAGGTTGGAAAAGACCCCACCAAGATCATTCAGCCCAACTATCCATTTACCATCATTATTTCCCACTAAACCATATCCCTTAGTACAACATCCAGATGCTTCTGGAACACCTCCAGGGATTGTGATTCTACTGCCTCCCTGGGCAGCGCATTCCAGCACCGCACCAGTCTTTCTGAGAAGAAATCCTTAACATCCAACCTGAATCTCCCTTGCTGCAACTTGAGGCCATTCCCTCTCATCCTATTGCTAGTTATGCAAGAGAAGAGACTGATTCCCCACCTGACTGCAGCCTCCTTTCATTTTTTTGTAGAGAATGTACAATTGTATTTGTAGAGAATGATAAGGTCTCCCCTGAGCCTCCTCCAGGCTAAACAATCCCAGCTCCTTCAGCTGCTCCCATAAGACTTGTGTTCCAGACCCCTCACCAGCTTCCCTGCCCTTCTCTGGTCACGCTCCAGAGAATTCCATGTAAGAGCTCTGAGCTGATTGTTGCAACAGAAAACCAGGATTTTAGTGTTTTATGTGAATGATAACATCAGCTCAGCTGCATGATTTCAGGGGAGGATGAGGACTAGTTTATGAAATAGAATAATTATAGGGCTGTTAAATATGTGTACTTCTGAAGCCTACGTGTTTGTTTTCTGAACATAGTTGAAAGCTGGAAGAGTTTATGGGGGAATTTTTGCTATGTCATTGTTCTTAAATAGATATCTGCTAGTAGTTGCTGTTGGGGATGATATGAGTACTTATTAAAAGATTTTCTTAGCCTGATGTGTTCATAGCTAATCTCATGATATCTCTTAAAAAAAAAAAAAAAAAAAAAAGCTTAATTGAACTATAGAAGTCAGTCTGTTTCAGCAAATGTGTTTAAGGTACTTCTGCTGTTTCACCTAGCCTGCTGGCCTGGGAAGACCATGTGTGCTGTGTGGTATATGGTACACCTTTGAAGAATAGAAAGTGAGATGATGTTTAAATGGAGATGGCAAACTTATCTATAAGGAACAGCAATAGTTGATGTGATTGTCTGTTACCTTTACATGAAAATGCAGAAAAGCCAGGTTCACTGGGCACTTTGTGCTCTTTTACAAATTGAGGCTACTGGTCTCCTAGAAAAGGTCCTGAATGAAGAACAAGTTAACAGTGCATAAGGAAAAAGTTGTATATTTGGCATAGCTAAAATGTTTAGCAAGTCAGAAACAATGCTAACTGTGATATTGTTCAAGAAATGCGGAGACATCTAAGCTGTAATTGCTGTATGTTCCCAGCTTCTGTAGGTCTTTGGTCCATGCTGTCATTCTTCTGAGAATGATATGCGAAGGAGATTGTATGGAACTTCTACAGGCAGCTTGTATCTGGATGTAATCCTGAAGTCACAGAATGGGCAAACGTCTGAAACACATGAAAATTAAAAATGAATCGGAAATGTTACTGGAACTCCAACAATTCAGTAATAAATCAAGAATGCTTGGCTTATGGTAGTGTTGCCATTCTGTTTGGTGGCAAATACTCTATTTTTCTGAAGTGGATTGACAGACAGTTGGTTCTCTAGCTTTTCCACAAACTAGGGAATTGAATTGCTGTGATTATGTGCAACCTCCTAAATGCTTAATTGTCAGGAAGATATTGGATTCTTCCTCTCCATGTAACTGTTGAAAAGTAGAAAAGTACATTTGGATTTTATTTTGAATGTAGGTGTTTAAATTTGGGAGAATTGAGATTCCAATATCTCTTCATATTGAGCCTTAATATCCTGATTATAAGGATTATATGTTCATTTTATACTTTTTTGTCCGTTCAAACAAAGCAAAGCCAACCTACTTTGGTTAAAATTCTCATTGGAATACATAAGGAGCTGAATTTCTAGAAATAAATTTAACTGTGTGGCAGCTAACATGAGGACTGTAAAATGGTGGTTTCTAAGTTTCTTGAGCCAATGGATTATTCCTGGTGCTTTCTAAACCACTGGGCCTAAGACAGTAGTAATGGTATAGTATTTTCTTTTGTATAATATTGTTTCTGACTTTAAGCTACCGGAAACATTTTTTATTGTAGGCCATGTTGAAGTATTATTTTGCTGGTGGAAAATGTTATCCATTCTGTTATGCATTTGAGAACACAGGCATTTTGTTGTATGCAAGCTTTACAGTGTTCTCAACATCTACTGTTTGTACTTACTGGGTCTTGATCATGCTTATGGTGATACTGTGGTGTTAGGAAAACTCTGGCAATTCAGTTTGTGAAATTTTGCTGTGTTAAATAGCTTGGTACAGTGGCATCAAATTGACTTAATAATGTTGCAATTCTCCGGGTATTTTGTGGAACTACTTGGATTGGTTTTGTAAAGTTGGGATTAAAAATGAGTTCACAAGAAGACATGCTTATTGTTAAAAGATGGCATTAAGGGCTTTGTCTGCAGTTAGGTGCTGAAAATGAGTAAAGAGTTGACAAAGGGTTTCTAGCATCCTTGTTGATTCACTTCTTTCCTCAGATTCTATTTTGTAATTTTGTTACTTTCAATTAGACAAGACTAAATTTCATATTAGTACAGATACAAAATGCGGTGTGTCATCTTGCTAGTATTTAAATTTCAGTAGATCCATCGTTTCTAAACCACAGTGATGCTTTTCAGAACTTCTGTATACACTAGAGTGAGCCCCAAATATTTGCATGTGAGGTATGCCACTCTTTAGACTACAATACTTATTATTTCTAAAAGCTAACATAGTTTGTTTCTTTTTCAGTGTTATGGCACTTGCCTGTAGACTTTGTAAGTGATGTCTGTTCTTGCATTTTTTCCTCTAGGGTTCGAAATCTGAGAATGGCAGACATCGACAAGTAAGTAAATCTGTAGGTTACTGAGACTGTAACTGGATGTCCTTTACTATGCTTCAGGTAGCCACAATCTCCAGATATTTAAGGGGCAGGGTCTACTACAATGGGATCTTGTCATTATGGCAAGATGTGCAGTTCAGAGCACAGGGGAAGAGCTTGGGTTCTTCATGCCAGTTAACTTTGTTGGAATTCTGGAGGAGAAATTTATAATGTTGTTAATATTGGTTCACTGTGTGTAGCTTTTTCTGTACTTTGCTTGTATTTTGTGGTGCCTGAAGTATTGTTCGTGTGAACCTAATCTCAGTTCTCAAGGCCTGCATGGCTTGGCAAAGAATATGTATAGGGCAGAAGGGGAGTCTTGAACTTGTCCATGCTGATAGGAGCTGAAGGAATACTTTTGTGAAAAGGAATCTTCAAAGTCCTGAAAAGGTGTTAGTTCCATACAGAGTCTGAAAGTTACAGTGACTTTATAAAGGCAAGTTTGTCTTTAGCTATTAAAACTTTCAAGCATCAGCTTTTAACCCACAGAAATCTGTTTGCTTCTACCAATGCAATATCTAACTCGAACTCTTTAAACTTGTTGTAGATTAAAAAAGAAAAGCCGCAAACTTTTCAATCCTATTATTAAATATTCCTAACAGCAAAGAACAGTCTGAACTTGATCAGCAAGATATGGAAGATGTTGAAGATGTGGAAGAAGAAGAAACTGGTGAAGATGCCAACAGCAAAGGTAACAGTGAAAAGAAGGCTTTTTAAGTAGCTGCAGAACTGGTTTCTAATCAATGTTAAAAGGATTTTATATTTTAAAGGGAAGTGCTGAATCATAACTACTGATACACTGCTTTCTTTGAGTTCTCAAGCAATGACTTTTTCAGCTTTGTGTTTTCTGTTGTCTCAATTGCATTACTCATCTTAGTTGTGGTCAGTAACAGTGCGAGCAGTGCTGGCCACCTATAAGGACATATAAGTGGAAAAGAAAAGATTGTTGTTATCATCAGATGGTTCCAAATCTAATGGCAGTTAAAAGCTTTAAAAAAAAATCAATTGCGTATTTGTATTATCTTGATTATTTCTTAGTAATTTGCTGCTAAATTGTTTGAGACCGGAGTTAAAATGTTGTTACCAGTCTTAGAAATAAATCCTTCGTCCTTTCCCTGAAGAGCAAGTACTCGAAAGAGAAAGTAACAGTTTGTTACAAGAGATGATAGTCTGGATCACTGATAATGCTCCCTTCTGTGATTGCTCAAGCAGAATGGTAACAGTAAAAAAAAATTCTCACTAAAAAAAAGTAGAGGCTTTGTATCTGCTGAAAGCGTTTTCAAAACTGGATTGCAAAATTGTGAATAACACAGGGCAGCCAAAGAAAAGCTTTCACTAATTAAATGGTAAGTACTCAAGTGTCCCAAAGGAAACTAGAGATGAGTAATGTGTATTTTTAGTAATTAATCCCAGCAATTGTACGTGAGGATCTGAGAGGAGTAATTACGCTATATGAATCTTGGAGAGAAATTGAGTTTTCTAGGTAAGAAACATGTTTCATTGCTAGGGAACTAAAATGATTTGTGAAATGATGTTATCAAGCAATTATTTTGCTAGTTTTCTAGTAATTTTTTGCATGCATAATTTAAGTTTTGCTGATCTTAATCTTTTTTTTCTTTACCTGGTTGATTCTATTTTTAAATATTTTGAAGTTCTTTCAATAAATGCTTCAGTCAAGCACTCTTGCTTTTGGAGAAAAACCTCACAGGGAACGTTTGCGGACTTGTTCTTGCTGTCCAAGAACTTGCAAAACAGAATATCTGTTAGATTTCAGTTAAAGAGAGTGGGGCTGTTGGTATTGACATGCCACCTGTAACACCGACCTAATATATACATGGTACAAACAATAACTGGCAACAGATTCAAATGGCAGTGTTGAGTGGGTTTTTAAATGTAAGACTAATTAATAGTTAGACCAGAGAAAATGTAGATAGCAAGAGGGGTGGTGTTGACTAATGTGGATTAACACGTAATTACAGCTTCCACTGCTAAAATATAAACTGCATCCTTTTTTGGATGTCACTTGAAATATAATTTTTTTCAGTATGTAATTTCAGTGCTAGAGCATAAAAGCAGAAGAGAATATTCGTGTAGTTATTCTAGAAAGGGGCATAGAAATAGAGAATCACATTCCAAAAAATGTAACTTCAGGAAGGACTGAAAAGCTCTGCTTTTATTTCAAGGTATCCTTTAAAAGAATGCTATACAAACATAGTAAAAAATACAGAATACTTGTTTGCATACCTGTAAATCTTGAGGATGAGGGAAGAAGGCAAAAAAAACACATGATTATAAATGATCATAAATTCTTATTAAAAATGAATTTAAGTTCCTTTCTGCAGGTTACTGAGATGTAGACCTTGAGCTAAAATAAAAGAATTGATGTTAATATGGGTAATGGGAACACTTAGGCTAGCAATTTGTGTTTTCCAAAGTGTACTTCTATCGTATGATTTGAAACAGTTATCCATGAGGGCAAATTACTTTTGAAATATGTAGATAATAGAGATCAAGACTTCAACACTGTTCTGTAATCAACAATATGTCAGACTGAGCTGACTGGATTGCTGTGCTATTCCTTCAGGAAAAAAATAGTTCTAATGAATAATTTATTCTTTTTGCAAGCAATAATATGTAAGCATAGACTTGTAAACCAGTTCTGTGCCCAAGTCTGAACCAGTCTTGTTTCGCTCCATTTATCTGAAATGGAATGAAAACTCCAACTCTAGTGATATCTAGTGATAGGGTGGACTTGTTTATAGTAAGGGGCATGGTTTAGTTGGGAAATATTGGTAGTAGGTGGATGGTTGGACTGGATGATCTTGGAGGTCTTTTCCAATCTTAGTGATTCTATGGTCCATGCATCTAAAATGGAGACATTTGAAATAATTCTGCCCATGTTTCTTCTTAGAGTAATATAAAGTAAATGTATTATTTTTTCTTAGTATTTAAATCTCTTTCAAGCCTAGTCTAGAAGATATGCTTTGCATTTACAGAATTTTCATTTTGATTTTAGCTCGGCAGTTGACTGTGCAGATGATGCAAAATCCTCAGATTCTTGCAGCTCTTCAGGAAAGACTTGATGGTCTGGTAGGAACATCTACAGGATATATAGAGAGGTAAATACTTGTTCTAATTCAGTACGAGCAGAGTGATATAAATGCTTTCACTTTCTCAACAATATTGTCTTTAAAATGATTAATAATCATAAACCACTGCACTGCCTAGGTAGTAGGAAACATATAATCAGGCACTAATGCATTTCAAATTAGAAGGCTTTCTATTTGAGCCCTTTTAAAGAAAAGAATGCAGAAATATTTAGTGTCTGATAATGTTTATGCAATTGCAAAATGTCATTCTGTCCTGTTTTTATCAGTATATTCCATATCATGACATCATGCAGCAGGCTGTTGGTGCAGATGCACACTGCATTGCAGAGCTGTACTTCCTGGTTTCTCTAGCAGCTTCATGTGAATTCTGACTCTCCAAGAGGAAGATACACTGAGATGTACTGCATCATCCCAAGAGCCTCCACGTGATTTCCATCTCTGGGTGATGGGGAAGAGCTCTGTTGTCTTTTCTGGGAGACCAGCTGTGAGGGCCTGCTGATAAGGACTCAGACTGATTCTTTCTCTCCTCCAGTTTTATTTTTGTTTCTTCTTGCTTTACTGCTCTTAGTTATTCAGTATTATCTCCTGTTCCTTTTAATAAATCCATTTCTCTTATCTCAATTGGATTTTTTTTCTCCTCTTCCTCCCTCTGCATTTCTCCCAAGGGAGGAGAGAGATGTTGCATGGTTAACCATGGCACGTACGTACAGACATTTTTCCCGGAATGTGTCCTCAGCTTTGCCTGAATTTGAAACATGGACAAGTACGTGGTCACTTGTGGTCGTGCTATAACCACAAATTGGGGGTGTTGTATCAATACTTAATGTGGCCTCCTTATGCATCAAAATTTGGAACAATCTGTTGCTTACTAAAGTTGTCTGCTCTAACAGATTTATCTAGCTTCTCCATGTAATTTCTGATTGTTTGAACTTTTCACCACGTGCACACGAGTTGTAAAGCACAGAACTATCTGACTGTGATAGGATCCTGTGTTGCTCTCGATGTTAACTGAGATGGCTACTGAATAACAGGATTTGTTCCAGCTACTCCTACCACTTTCCTTTATTACAGCCAGTAGCATAGAAGAAAAGCACAGGCAACTAATAGCCTACCCTAGTAACTACAGGTCTAGGAAGAGCATAGAGTCAAAGGACTACACAGGTTCTTTACACTGTGTTCTATATGCTGTACAATAAGGCTTTCTATATCTAATACATTTTTTTGACAGATATTAATTTATCTCTACTAATCTTTCGGGTCCTAGGTGTAAGAAGTGAACAGAAGTCATAACATGAATTTACTTGGTATTTTCCCTGTCAGCTGTTCTCTAAGATACTGTACCTTTCTTCATGTATTCCAAGTCTTGTAGTGCTTTTCTTGCAAAGCATTGCAGCTTTGCTATACCAAATGCTTGCCAAACTTACAGTAGAAAAATGGCTGGAAAATGTGTAACTCGAATCTATGCTTCCTTAACATATGCATGCTGATCTAAGCATGCTTTACAGGGACTTCTTATCTGTCGTACCAAATGTTGTTTTAAGTTAGTTTGTTTAAAAAAAAAAATAAAGTCTCACCATTGAGGTGGCACAGAAGTCAGAAGGAATCTGGGAACCTAAAAGATGGTTGTGTGGGCTCTTAAAGAACTAGTGCACAAGCTGGTGGAGAAGCTAAACGTGTTCCAGGAAGAGATTTATCTGTCTATTTGGGCTTAAAATCTGCAAATTGTTTGGCCACACTCTAATAGCTCATCTTTTTACCTTTACCTGGGTACAATGATTTTAATTTTAAGTTTTCTTTTGTGGATTCTCCTCAGCTGTGAGCTGGAGGTTGGATTCTAGTTTGATTGTAACATTTGCTAGTGACTTGTATTCAGAACAAGTTTTATTTGCCACTATTGTACTTAAGGTAGTCTGGTTCAGATTTCATGATCTCTTTTTGCCATTTTGGATTTGTTTTGCATTAGCTGCTTTTTTCCTGAAACTACTTTTTAAAAAAGTATGGGATTTACCAGTGTAGTGGGTGTACAAGTTTTGAAACTTGAACTAGTTGGCACAGACTTGGGGGGGGGGAGTTTCTGGCACTTGTGGAAGATTTCGATTCTCTAATAAAGAGGTTACAATCTTTATTTGGATGTCCTGGAATTGGAATTCCTATGCATATCTTTTTTTCCTCAGTTTTCTAGTGTTGTATGTAGTATGAAACATGTTTTGATACATGTTGGTGAAAGGAGCTGGTTAAGGAGCGGTCAACATGTTACAAACACTGCATTCTATGCACAGTTCTGTCACTGTATTTTTCAGCTTGCCTAAAGTTGTTAAAAGACGTGTGAATGCTCTCAAGAATCTTCAAGTTCAGTGTGCACAGATAGAAGCAAAGTTCTATGAGGAAGTTCATGAGCTGGAAAGAAAATATGCTGCTCTCTATCAGCCCTTATTTGACAAGGTATTTTAATGCTTGTCTGATTTGTACTTAAAAGCTTTAGCTAAACCAAAAGGGAATATAAACTGAAAGCTTATGTATGTTCTGAATTACCTTGGTCTCCAATGTGCCTGTTCAACTGAATTGGCACTATTTCACCATCCGTGTGAATCTCAGCTAAGAATAAGGAGAAAAGTTGTCTGTTCCATGGTTAACAAAGTCACTTCACTATATTAGGCCTCGTTATGTTAACTGAGCAGATGTTAGGTGATGTGGTAACCTTTCTGGAATGCTGGTTCTTCAGTGTGTTATGTATAACATTGTTAACTGCTGGGTCTTTCTAGAGCAAGAAGAAAGCATTCAGTTAAGTAGTTAATGCTTTATGTGAGACTAGAATCAGCAGTTTATTGGTTAGAGTATTGCTAATTGGAATAACTAAAACATAAGTATCTTTGGTTCAATTTTTCAGCGAAGTGAGATCATCAATGCAATCTATGAACCTACAGAGGAAGAATGTGAATGGAAAGCAGATGCTGAAGAAGAAATTTCAGTGAGTATCATAATCAATTCTCACCAATCAATTCTCCACCTTTAGCATGAAACTAGATTCAATAGAGTAAATACATTTTTTCTCAAAAGGAGAATTTTTGTAACGATTGACTGCGTATTATTAACTACATCCTTCAATCATCTGCATGAAACTTCATGGGTACTATTATCAGCTAAAGACAGTGAACAAACTTGATGGAGGATGGTTTTTAAAGTTTAGAAAAATTAATGTTTTTATTCTATCAAGGAGGAAATGAAAGAGAAAGCCAAGCTTGAAGAAGAAAAAAAAGATGAAGAAAAGGAAGACCCTAAAGGAATTCCTGAATTTTGGCTGACAGTATTTAAGAACGTGGACTTGCTCAGTGATATGGTTCAGGTAGGTAGTAGATCAGATTGCTTTGATTTTGCTTTAGTATTTAATCAAGTGTGCTCTACAAGGAAGGAGAACAAACACTTACAGTACTTGTCTTCTGGAGAGTAAAAATTGAGCCAGTGTTTGGATGTCATCTGGTCACTTATTCAACTCAGAGCAGAGAGCACTCTGAAATGTCTTCTTCTTTTGTTCTTATTTGTTGAAATTACAACTTTGCGTAGGCAGTCCATTAGTAAGATATATAGGTGTGTTTGCATGAAATATGTACTATTGCTAAAATTTGTATTTACTTTGCATGAGATTTAAACTGAGAGCTGCAGTGAAAACTGAGCTGCTGTTGTTGCCATCTGCTGGTCATGTTCATGGAACAAAATATTTCAGTACTTGGACAAGGTTCTTGTTGAGATTCATTGGTTCTAAATATACCTTTTCATCTCTGCCGTGTCTTAATTCTGCATACAAATCTTATGAAAATTTCATTAACATTTTATTTACAGGAACATGATGAACCTATCCTGAAACACTTAAAAGATATAAAAGTGAAGTTCTCAGAAGCTGGACAGCCTATGGTTAGTTTAATTTACTAAACAAGAGTTCTGCATTATCTTAAGGCTTGTATTTGTATATCAACAACACGGTCTGTAATAAGCAGTTGTCTTATGGCAATCCTGAGAAATGTGTAGCTAGCTTCTTGTCCCCTGTAAAACAGTACAGAGACTAGTTCTGAAGTACCATCTGTATGAATTCAAACTTAACATTTGGATTTTAATGAGTTAATAACTTGACCTTAGTATTTGATTAGTTCATTTTACCTTTAAAGTTTGAGAATTTGAGGCACTTTTTGTATAACTACTATAAGAGAATATAATTTCCTTTCTAGAGACCAAATAACTTGCAAAGATAAAAATAGTATATCTCTATAATCAGGAAAGTAGCACCAGGAAGTCTATATGTGATGTGAGATCTTGTGCTCATTTCTTAATGTACTGCTTGAACCAGTGACATGAGATCAGCATAGTAAGTGTAAGCATCTGAATATTTACTACACAATTTGGGCAGCAAATTCTAGGATAAGTTGTGCATGCACCACTTCAGAGTTGGTAGAGATGGACATATTCATTTGCATGTTTATTTTTGATTTTGATCTTCAAGTATTTAGCAATCTAGCAACGCATACTTTTAATTTCTAATGTTGTCTCTTTGCAATTCTTTCTTAAGAGTTTCACATTAGAATTTCACTTTGAACCAAATGACTACTTCACAAATGAAGTGTTGACGAAGATGTATAGAATGAGATCAGAGCCAGATGATTCTGATCCCTTTTCCTTTGATGGACCAGAAATCATGGGTTGTACAGGGTAAGTGCTAATGAATAGCCATAAGGTAATGTAACAGTTTCTTCCTTATTATCCAAGTGTAAGCTTTTAATTACCTAGTAACTTGTAACTAGCTAGGCTCAAGTTTGAGGTTAAAACTTACTGAAAACTGCCATCTTTTAACTTCCCATTAGTTTGAAACATCTGACTCCTTTCCTCATGTATCCACCTAGTGCTAATTTCAGTTTTTTATCATGTAATACAGAAATATGAAAAAACTATATATTGTGTAATCTAAACATTGATGCAATTTGTAAGTTCATAAATAGCATCTATATATACATACAGTTAAATTTAATACTCTTTGCAAATTGTGTTCTGCAACAACTGAAGCTGAAGTGGAAGCTGGATAGTATTCTTCTAGTGGGCCTTGATAGCTTTTTAAGAATCTTGTTAGATCATATTTTGGAAACCTGTTGTATTTCTGGCATATAGGTTTTTTCAGAAGGCAAGTCTGTTTTTATGTTCTGTATTGCTGTTGTCCAGTTTATAATAGCTGAATGTTTGCCTCTCTGAGCACCTTTCAGTTAACCAATTTGAGAAGTAGAGAACAGTCATTATCTAAGTCCAATTTTCTCATGATTTTGAAGATGTCACATTTGGTGGTCTCTTCTGTTCTGAATTAGCTATAATTCCTTAGATTATTCAGTCTGTTCTGCACATATCCATTGTGAACACTCTTCTGAGCAGTAACAACTAGAGTATCTCACTGTCACTTTGGGCTGGTTTTACCCATGCAGTACTGTGCTCTTACTGATACTGACTGATGCTTTCCCCTTCGTTTCCCAGTCACTTAATGTAATACCTTGCTACAAATGTCCTGTAGGAATTAGTCTGCTTGAGTACATTTGATCAAACTCCCATAATTTGGACTGTTACTGAAGAGCATATCTCCTGGCAGAGGTGCCTGTGAGATGACTCTGCCTTTCTGAAAATGATTTATGCAGAGCAATGACTGGGAATGTTAAGACAGCAACTTCTTATCCTTAAACAACTCACCTCTTTCCTTTGAATCTGTAAAAGATCTAGTCAAGAAATGTCTTCAGCCTTATTTTTGTGACTTCATTTACCTTTTCACAGAATACAGTGTCAGTGTCAGTCAAGCCTGTGGGTATGATTCTTTCTCTGTAAACAGCAAATAAGCTTGATATTTCATGTTCAGTGTATTCCTTAAAACTGTGATAGTTTCTGTAAGTATTGGTAGAAAGCAGAGATGTTCTAAGCTACAACCTTTCTTCTTTCTTCCCCAGCTGCCAAATAGACTGGAAAAAAGGCAAGAATGTTACTTTGAAAACAATTAAAAAGAAGCAGAAACACAAGGGTCGTGGAACAGTTAGAACAGTGACAAAAACTGTTTCCAATGACTCCTTCTTTAACTTCTTTAGTCCTCCTGAAGGTAAACAAAATATTTGTGTACTTGTGTATTTACATTAACTTTAAATGTAGTATATAATTCATTCACTTATTTCCTTTCTTTCTTCTTTTTTTTTCCTCACAGTTCCTGAAAGTGGAGACCTGGTAAGTTGAGTTGTCTTATCAGAAGAGTTTGGGGGTGAGGGAATCACCAGTGAAAGGCACTTATATACAGTGTGCTTTCTGAGATTTGTTTGGGAATTTAAATTGTTTCAGTTTTAACTTAACTTGGGAACATTTGTGATAAATAGATAAATAGTTTTTCTTTGTTAGAACGATGGTAAAGTCCAGTTCATTTCACTTTAACAGCTTATTGTAGCAGAGAACATTTTTTAGGTGTGCAAATGCTTTACATTGGGGTGATCAATGAGAATCATGAAGATACTTAGAAAGTTTAACCTGGTTAGTATTTAGTTCTTAATGCTGTGCATGCAAACTGAAAATCTATGGGTGATATTACATTTAAGTAGAAAAATGGTTTAAGTTGTTATGTAGAGCAAGAAGGAAACTTAAACTCCAGGGCTTTGTATGACTAAGTTTGCTGAAGCGGCAAACTCCGAACTCCATAATGTGTGTAAATGCTTGAAGTATAAAAGTTGATCTCACAATCTCAATTCTATAATTGCCTTGAACCAAAAACTCATGAGATGGGGATTTGTGTAAATCTGTCCACATCAAAATTTGTGCAGCTTGTGTTTTGCAGTCAAATGTAGTTACTAACTTATGATTTAGAACATTAAATTGTTTTATGCAGGATGATGATGCTGAGGCAATCCTTGCTGCAGACTTTGAGATAGGTCATTTCTTACGTGAACGTATTGTCCCCCGATCAGTATTGTACTTCACAGGAGAAGCTATTGAAGATGATGATGATGATGTAAGTAATGTCCTTCTGTGCTAAAAGCCTCTATATGCTGTTGCTTGTTTTTTAACTTCTGACTCCTAAAGTTACTGTTAGTATCCTTAGAATGGGAGGTATTAACTTTAGTTTCAGATAGACTTCGTAGGATGTTATATAAAGAACAGCATGAAGGTAATTAATCTTCCAAGTACTGAATTCAGAGTTCTGTGGCAAAAGTGCTAATAGATGACCACTTAAAGTGATGTCTGAATAAAAGTTTGTGTACAAGTCATTCCTAGAGTGATGTACATAATACTTGGATAGAAAAATGAGCTGCTAGAGAACAAATTAGTCTACTTATGTAGCTGGTCAGCCTGTTTATTATACCTACATGGCTACTAAGTTCTTGAGCTTCAGACTTTCAGGAGGGCTTTTTAGAAAATGGGAGCAAATTTTTTTTTTGAAAGCAGGTTCTTCAAAAGCATTCAATGCATTAAAGAAGCTAAAGCTGAAAAACAAACTGCAAAACCCAAGAACTTGACAAATTTACTAAATCTATTGAGTTGATTCAGCTAAGCTAGGTCAACCATTGAGCTGAATTTTTAGAATTTAGAATGGTAACCATTAGTCCAGTACTGTGGCAGTTGATGGGTAGAAGATGGAAGTGACTGTATGGACTGCTTTGTAGTTCAAGACACTTTGTTGGACAGAGGTATTACCAGTTCAATAATCTCTTCCAGTGTTGTATGTAAGGAATGCAAGGCAGGAAGTGTTCTCTGCCAGAGCATAGTTTGAGATTGAATGTTACTCATTCTGATTCATAAAGCTATTTCTAATCAGTCAAATATAGGATGTTCTCTTAAAGCATAGTACTGTGTGTATGGTTTCTGGCATCAGCTTAAGTTATCTTACATGAACTGATGTCTGTAATGACTACGTTTATGACAGTCAAAACTATTTCTTTCTTTCTTAGTATGATGAAGAGGGTGAAGAGGCAGATGATGAGGTAAGTTGACAGATTGCTTTGATTTAAATATCTTCTCTCCTGTAGCCTGTGCAGAATAAGTTCCATTATTTTTTTAAATCCTGTGAAAGCAAGTTTAAATTATACTTATGAATGTAAGACGCAACAGCTTGTATTCTGTGATCCAGAGTGAATATTACAAACAAAACAGCAACAAAAATAATACTACAAATCAAATTGTAACTGATGTAGAAAAATGTGCTGTAGAGGGTCAGTATGCATAAATTGAAGTGGTAGTGAAAGTATTTCAGGGTAGAACTTCATCAGAGTTCTTGAGGATGGCTTGGGAAGCTGAATGTGGATAAGCTAGTGAAATATGAACAACTGTTTTCTTTCAGGAGGGGGAAGAAGAAGCAGATGAAGAAAATGATCCTGATTTTGACCCAAAAGTAAGAAATAAAGAGAATGTTTGAAGTGTGCATGTGCATTCATATTCCTATTATTTAATGAAGGTTAAATATCAAGTTTTAGTTAAAACATTTAATAGCTCTTACAGTAAGTGTTTTCTGGCTGAGACTTTTGGTTCTAGTTCTGATGGTCTAATACGTGTAAGGCAACTTCTTTTTTTTGTTTTTTGAAGTTCCTTCACTAAGAAACTTTCTGTGAAGTGACATTTTACTTTGAATGCTGAAATCTATCAAGCTCAGTTTTTTGTTAACTTGGAGCAGATTCCTGGCTTAGTTCAGTAATGTAAGTGTTGTGTACTAGTAATCAGAAAAGTATGAGTAATAAACGCTCAGTTTTGGGGAACTTGCCATAATCTGTTTTTTGTACTGTGCTGGAGTGGGTTTTGTTTTTTTTTTTCCTCAAGTGAGATGATAGTGAGCCTGTATTTCTTGAGGCAACATATGTCAAACTTCAGGAATGCATCTACAACCAAGCACTTGAATGTGGGCAACTAAGAGCAATGTGCAGCTGTGTTTCATGTTTAACGGTCAGAGTAAACGAGTAGTTAAGCTCAGTTCACTGGAAAAGTGATTGTGAGCAAGTAAATTCTTAGCTTTCTCTTAGCTGAGGGGAAGGCATCCTTAACCAATACTACTGGAGTAGTATTCCAGTTCAATATAGTTCTGGAATCAAAATGAAACTGCTGCAAATTGGGCGTCTGATTTCTACCACTTCAACTGTTTTTGCAAGTTGTATCACTGAGGGCAAGATTGTATGCTCAGTTTCAGAGAGAACTGCTGTAGGCTTGTAGAGAGGTAGGCAGTAGTGGTACTATACTGTTTTGGAAAGAATAGATAATGATAAGTTAATCACAGACTGGAAACTAGGTGAGTTTATGAAAGCACTGCAGTCTGAAAATAGCAATCAACAAAAACTTGCAACTCTTCACCCTCAAAAGCCTTTTCAATAAATTCCCATGTTACTGTGAGGTATTGCTGATTGCCTGCTTCATTGCAGAAGAGTTTGTAATGTCTACTTGAAAATTTTCTAGCAACTGTAATTTATTTCAAAAAATCTTTCCTGAGTGTTAAGAACATACCTTGATTTTTTGTTTCATTGCGCTGCTGTACGTTGGATCTGAAGTAAGGCTGTGCCCTTGTCAATCAAAATGAAGGCTGTGGGTTTTTTGTTTCAAACTGTTTAGAAGGTGTGGATGTCTCTGTGCCCGTGTTTGATACAACTTATTGCCCTTTGTCTAGTTTCAGTGTCATTCAGAGTATGACCATCATGCTTGATTCTGAACAGATTTTTATTCTCAATGCGCATACACAAAAAAAAGTGTTGTGAATGTTAGCACATGTAAAGGTACTAGTAATATTGGACAGTTAGCTCAGTTGAAGAGATGCAAGAAAAACCTGACTGCTGGAAGTTGACGAAGTATGTTAACGATTTGAATAATTCCTGACGTATTGATATCTGTGAGCTGATATTTCCTTTTTTTTTTTCCCCCTCAACAGAAGGATCAAAACCCAGCAGAATGCAAGCAGCAGTGAAGCAGTGTGTATGTGGCCTTGAGGATTACCTGCACTGTAATAGCCTAAACACAACTATTAGTTACTTACAGCCTTATGTTTTGTATCTTGGTAGAATTAAGTAACCAATTTGTTAAAAAATGGAATCAAACACATAAGAACCAGTTTAAAATGTAGGTTCAATCTACCTAACATTTAAACAGTATAATTTTCTGCCAATATGTAGAATGCAGTAAATCCCCTAAAGCATGAATGTTAATTCATTGCTACATAGTTTGGTTCTTGTGAAGTCTTTGTCATGTAGCTATTAGACTGCAGCTGTGAAGATTATCAGAACTGTTAACTGAGACCAATATTTGTTTAGAGAAAACTCTCTCCTGAAGAACCAACCAAAGTATTTTTTCAGCCCAGTAGTCTGAACGGGTTTAAGTCTGCTTGCACTAGCTGTGCCTTCATTACTTTGTTATAGAAATGGCAGTGACTTGTACTAACTAGGAGATGATGATGCGTTTTGAATTTGACTACTTGAGAAGACTAGTATAACTTGTTTAATTTCCAATGAGACCACATTAAACATTCATACCTGTCAGCTTGTTTATGCTATGGGTTTTGTATTTTATGTGACATAGTGATCTACAAAAGAAACCTAGCCATCATATTAAGGTTATTGTTTACCACGGGGTGTGAATAAAACCTAGTATTTTCAGAAGCTAGTCTTGTTTTATTATGGTGTGTTTTGCATGTGTAAACTGATAAGGTGTATCTCATGCTGCAGTTAGTTCACTGTGCTAAAACTGAAATTGGGAATTATTGAAAAGTTCTATAGCATCTTAAAAACAGTAGTTTGGATAGATATTGATCCATATTTTTTACTTGCAGTGTGATACCTGTGAATCTGATCTACATGTTTCAGTGGTTGGTCAACACTGCCATTTTGAGAAGACAATTGTTCTTAGAAGTGGGGCTAGATCTAATGAAGGACTTGGATATTGCCATGCCTGATTCTAATAGAGAATTGGAATATTGGCATGAAATCTGGAGTGAAGAAAGTAGTGTGGATTTCCAGCCTGCATAGACAGAGCTATGTTGTCCTGAACAAAATCTACTTTGTAACCTAACAGACTGCTAGAACATCTGGCTGTATTCTAATTTGAACTTGATGTTAAACATCTACAGAGGAGGAACCAGACCCCAAGGAGTTCTTCCTTCCTCACCTAATGTTCTGTTCACTTTGTTTGCATGATTTGATTCATTTGTTGTCTATACTGGATGCTCTCTCTCAGCTGAACCATGTGCTAGACCTGTCTCATTAGTTTTGTCTCTAGGTGTTCTCAGTGTGAATTTAAATGCATTCAGATTGAGGAGATTATTAACTGATATCTTTCATGCAAGTTATTCCAGTCAAAAGGACACTCGTACTCTAGATTCTTGTTCATTACGTAGCTGTGGAAGTTCTGACTTAAACAAGTATGCAGATAACTTTTTGAAGAATGGGAAGGTCCTCAGGACAGTGAAGTGTCCAGCTAGCTGTGGATGTGTTTCTGCAGTAGCTACTCTTTGCCACTAATATAATGAGGTAGGCATAAAGAGTTAAGGGACTGAGAAGAGCAGGGTGAGCAAGAAGCAAACTGCTATGTCAGGATGAGGTTGTGGAGGCCATGTTAATCTTGCAAGTTTCTTGCTTAGAGGATAGGTAATATGTAATGAAGCTTATCCCAAGTGCTCTTCTTAATCCTCAGCCCCTTTGAAAGGAGGATGGTCTAGTGTGCTCAAAACTGTTATTTTATTTTATTCCTTGGTGTCTTGAATACTATAGTGATTAATTACAGAATCCTTGTCAGATGTCATCTTTCTCCTCACCAGATACCTATGGGAAAAGGAACCCTTGTTATCTGTAGCTGTATAGAAAACAAATGCGAAAGCTGTGCTTTTAAATGTTTTGCTGATAACCTATACATCATAGCATAGAAAAATATAATAATAGGAGGCGAACAACAGTATCTCTAGTTGTTGTGTCTTAAAGTAGATGTGGTTGTGGTCTTGTGATAACATTAGTCCTGATAGAATGTACTTATCCTTTGAGACACTGGTGCTGTCAGGTGTTTCACTTGGCTATCTTTGTCTCTTTGAACGTCTCCCAGGATCAAGTGAAAACCAACTACTGGTTGTTTCAGCTTGAACTTCAGGGTAGGCAGAGACCAAACTGATATTTAGCAGTTACTAAGGAAGGGCTTTGGGATTCATACTTCTAGACCAAAGTATCTAAAGTCCTTACTTAAATCCAGCCCATTTTTCTAACAGTATCTGGCAACAGTCTCCCAGCTGGAGAAAGTGCTGTAGGAAGTCCTCCAGCACACTTCAAGCTGTTGTTCATATGAAATGTGGCTTGTATTTAAATTGTTTTCTTATTTGATATCTTATGCAATGTGATACAGTATTTGAAAAGAGGAGTTGATAAATGTTAAGGATCATCCATGGATTGCAAAATCCAGAACTATGAATGCGTGTCTGTGGGCAGATTTTGGTAAGCTGTCTCTAGACTGACTAGCTAGTGCTTGGGCTCAAGTTGAGGTGCCGGTCCCTGAGGTATTGGTTTATTAACTGTGTTGATGCTTCACACAGTTTCATGATCAACAGCACTCCTCTTGAGCAGTTCTGAAAGGCAATATGGAGCAGGAACGTTAAACTTCCTGCAATGATTGTGACTCGTTCTTGTCACTTCCTGTGGATTTATACCAGCTGTAGAGAATCTATTTATTTAGTATTTCAGGAATTACCTTGTTACCTAACTATTTCAGGTTAGGAAAATGTGTCACCAGAAACTGAATTTCTTGATGAGTTGTTGCAATAGTACACTAGAACTTCAATGAGGGTTTTCTGTCTAGTTCTAATCACTAAGCAAGCTGCTGCTCATTGTTTCTATACTTCTGGCAACTGTAAGTTACACTGAAGGATCTGACTTTTCTTACTGAACTTTTCTATAACTAGCATGATAAGCTTAGATTTCTTAATTGGATTATTGGAACCAGTGTTTCCCAAGCTATGTAGCAAGTAGCTTAACTTTTTAAGGTTTTAATTGCTAAGTGAAAAAAACACAACAGAATGTAAAAAAACTGCAGGAATGTAACATATTCATCTTTGCCTTCAAGCTGATATTTAAACTTTCTCTCTGTTAAGTCCCATTGTTGTAGGCTTCGTTCATCAATTAGTAGAGCATGAGAGCTAATCATCAGTTTGTATGTCTAACAGTAATTTTTCTATTCAGAAATGTCTGTGCAGTGGTTGTTTTGCAGATACCTTATGTTAGGTGAGAGAACTGCACTGTGTTCTCAGTGACAAAAATGCTGTACTTGGTATGCATTGGGCAGTCTGATAATTAAGGCATTTCTGTATATGATGGCTTTGATGGCCAGCTGGTTGGAGCTTGAGCTGTGCATGTTTCTGAGGAGATGGATTTAGTTCTACAGCAGTTCCTGCTTCATTTTGTGCTAATGTAGCTACTTTCAGTTAGGGTACAACCCTGTCAAAATCTTTTCTTGTACAGGCTAGTTAAATGTTTGCTACTCACCCAGCCTTTGCTTTCACTTCTGAACTGCTCAGTTCTGTTTATGATGCACAGATTCTCAAACTTTCAAGAAGACGTCAAAGTAGTGACTTCTACTTTCTAATGCTTACCCGAAGCAAATAAATCCATTTGTTAGAGTGGGAAATCCCACTTTTGTGCCCGCTCAGATCAAGAATTGGAAGCTTGTCTGCATAACCGAGTCAAGTGGTAGTTCCACATTCATCACTTATTAAATGTTCTGTTGGACATGTTAGCCTTCTGCATCCTTCAGCTCTGGTAGGAAAACTAGAACAAGCAGCGCAGAGCAGCATGGAGCACACCAAGCAAAAGATAAAGCTGCTCTGCATTTGCATCTCCTTATGTACACTAGAAGTGGGTGTGCATGGAGTGTGAGGGTTTGGCAGAAGAGCTTTTTTGTTTTAATAAATATCTAACCTAAATACCTAACTATGGTGTGCTGAGATGGGAAGAGTGGTCTCTTCTGCTTCCTCCTTTATTTAGCTGTTGTTTGAAGTACTTTATGTTCAAGTAAGTGTTGCGACTTTACACCCAAGCTTGATGTTTAATCCTGGTGTTAATGAAAAGCAGACTTTGTTCTAAATGCACGGCACATTTTACCCAGTGCTAGGTGCTCAAATCTGAGACTCTTCATGTCACTTAAACCTCTTACAATCTGGTTTTGCTCTCTAATATGTGTTTTACCACTTTGTGACATGTTTGGAAGACAGCTGACTGTGGATTGGAAGGGGCTCTGGGAAAGTCAGGCCTGAGCAGCTGCAGTGCTGGTGGTCTGTGTCTAGATACTGCTATGGGTTGTAAGGAATGTGAAGGCCTGAGGCAATACAGTGAATAGTTTTGGTCAATATTTTATCAGTTTGTGAACTCTGTAAGGCGTGCACAGGTATCAGTGAGATGGAATTCATAAGAGATTGCCACCAGATTCCACACTCAGTGCTTCAAGTGTTCTGTTAGCAGGAAGTTCCTGGAAGATAACTTGGAGATGGTAAAGGTCAGAAAAAAAGCTCCCAAGTAACCACTTATTGTCTAATCGTTTTAGTGGCATACTGCTACACTTCATCTGTCACGTGTTTCTCAACAGTAGGCTATTCTGTCTTCCTTCCATTTAGCAGTGTCTGGCTCATGCTGCTTTTAGGTTTCCCTTTTTGCTGCTGTAGCTATTTACTTCTGTGTAATAGAAGGAACGATGTTGAGGGTTATCGCTCCATGTGCATTTCACATCCTTCTAAAATTAAGAGTTGATAGTTGATACAGTGCTGCTGCTGTCTGCAGTTCTGTTATTCAGGAGAACACTAAAATTACAGGCTGCTTAGTTTTTCACAGTGACTTCCCAAAACAGTTTTTGTCTTGCCTGAGGGTTAAAAAAACAACACAGCACCATGCTTTAAAGAATAATTGCAGCGAGAGTCATTAAAGTTTACACACTGCTTGAGCCTCTAAGTCAGGAAGTTTATCATGCAGAAGACCAAGCATACCTAACAGCCAAGCATCCCTGTTACCACTGCTTAACTTTGTATGTAAACAAAGAAACAATCAGGAATAAGTGGATCTTAGATGCAGATTCTTTCAAGGAAAAGTGGCTGGTTTCCAGATTTTTTTTTTCCTTCAGATGGCAGTACTTCAGGTTTGACAGTAGGAGGCATCTGTGCACCAGCTGTTCCAGAAGAATTTTCTCTAACTGGGCAATGCAGAACAAACATAGTATTTAGTGGAACTTCAGGAAAGGTAGCAGATCCAGAACACATGATATGATTGCAATGGATTGAAAACGTTTAAAGAAAAGATAATCAGAGCCTCAGTGGGGTGTTTAGTGGGTTTAACCATGTTGAATGTGGGTTTTCAAAACACGAGTTAAAAGAAACAGCATTTCGGGAAGATGTTTTGAATTCCATGTAGGAAAAATATATTTGTTATCCTTTGGTAAATTCTGCACAATAAAACTGGGATATTGTGTTCTTTTTGCCATGGGACTCTGTCAGTGTTTCCTCCAACCCAAGTCCATTAAGTTCTGACTGCTCTGGTGTTTTTTGGTCAAATGTAGTGTATTTAAAATGGCTGTTAATATTTGTTGGCATAGAGAATACAAGTTGAAATGGATGTTTTGCATGTTTACTTCTGATCCA